TTTTGCTGAATCAGCTACATTGGATTAACAACGACACATGTCAAATATCAGCGTTAATCATTGGGTTTTGACAATTATTTTGTTTGTTTTCTGTTACAGAACTCGTTAGATATTCAGATTGAAGAGTTAAGTAGTGACAATGCAGTGGTATTCACAGTTAATAGATTATACGGTACATCTGGATTAGTTGTAGTGGAATGGCAGGCAACTGGTGATCATAGTAGTAATGATATCTCACCGACCTCAGGACAGGTAAAGTATCCAATGTCATGGGTCGGCCATAATTTCATACTGGGTCTTTAGGCTGAAATGACAATAGGATATATTTTGCATATGAACAAAACAGTATGTACAGTAACATATTAGATATAGACCATATTATTGATCTGGATATTATTCAGAATTGTACTGATGACAACTGACTGATTTGGTTAATTGCAGATTGAGTTTCCAGATGGCATTGCTACCGCTGCCATATACATCAATGTGTTAGCCGATATCACACCTGAACTTGATGAAGTTAGTTATATTCAGCTGACCCAGGTCATCACCGCAGGTACAGTGTTACCAGGTAGAGGTGCTATTATCAGTCGTACCCAGGACACAGGTCGATTAACAGTGTTAGCAAATGATTCTCCACACGGAGTTGTCGCGTGGGATTATGACTCGCTGAGTAAAAGTATAGATGAACCAATTCAGGACGGTTCCTCCGCAACTGTCACCCTTAATATGGTCAGGGAACAAGGAAGTGAAGGCAGTATTATCATTACATATAGGTGAGTTATCATGTATCTAAACTTACAATAGATGACTGACTGACTGACCGACCGACTAATCAACACCATGAATGTGCAGGTGAATTTGGAAATCCTACTCAAAATATAAAAACATTTAACTCTTGGTTGAAGTTTGGGTGTATGTACGAGCCATAGCCATACACTTCATGCGCCATGCAATTTTGTACAGATCTTTTATTTTTTAATAAATGTTTTTGTGCCTGGCGACAGTTCTGGACATTGGATGTCACTCTTGTCTCTCCTGACTTTTTTTGTATGTTCAAATTGCAAGTGCTAGTGCTGACACATAGTGCATTTTTGCCACAGAAGTCATTTCCTGTTTGCGACTACATGACAGGGCTGTGCAGCCATCTCTCTATCAAATGGCAATTTGTAGTGCGCTATCCTGGCGTCAACCAGTCTCGGTTGAACACAAGCACCTGCGGACCTTAACCAAGATTCCCCCAAAGTCGCATTCGTTAGTGAATGAATCTCGGCCTGTGGGATTGGCCTTCCCATTGGCACACTTACCCACCTTTTGGTGTTCAGCCTGAGGTAGGATTTGAACTTGGGTCTATCGATCATGAGTCTGATGCAACAACCACTATGCTACCAGTAATCGGTTACAGGTCTTAAAATTCACCACAACGATGTTCACATACAGGTGTGGTTTATTCCATGAACTGATAGATATGTTTTATTATTATTATATTATAGTACGTCTATAGATGTTACTGTACCAGATCAGCAGCAAGCCAAACCTGGTGAAGACTTTGTGGACAGGCAGGATACTGTAAGCATGGCAGATGGTGCCAATGAAGCCACTGTATTCATCACAGTAAGAGCAGTAAGTAAAAAGTAGTCATTTGTTGAATTTCTCAGTGAAAGCTATCTAAATCATACAGTTAAAAAGAAATTGTGATTCCATTTTTGTTCTATTAGAAGCATATTTCCAATAGAAGTGCTCATAAACCAGTAATTACAATTATTGCATCCTGGGTCAATAAAGTATGACATATTTTTACCATAGACACACTTGTGTCATTTATGTATAAAGTGCATGTACTACTAATAGAGCAAATATGGTATTAGTGGAATATCATAAAAGTTATTTCCAAGTAGGAGTGAAAAACACAAATACCGAACTCTGTTTTTGCCCTATTCATTTCTCGTTTCAGCATGTGACTTGTTAAATACAATATTTGCTCAATCAGTTGTACTTGTACTCACATAAATAAGTCTGTGTCTTATTTTAATGATCCAGTACACATTTAAGGCAGTTTTTGTCCTATCTGCTTTTTTATTAGAGATGCACAGATCAATACATGGTAACCATGCACATAAAAACAAGAAAGGAGAACGTAGGGAAATTAAGGAGCCAATCATAATGCATTTATCTTTTCAATTTTGCAGGATAGATTTCCAGAAGGACCAGAAGTATTTCTAGTGAATATCACATCAGTATCCTTATTGATGGGTACTCCTATTGATGGTGCCGCACCTAGCGTTAAAATGGGACAGCACGTTGCACAAATCACAATTAATGAAAACGACTATGCAAGGGGCATCCTGCAGTTTGATGTTGATGAGGTAATTCACTGATTTTTTGTGAATAAATAGCAGAATGATATCAACATGTAAATGGTGGTGGTGTTGGTGTTAGTGGTGACTCAACCAATCAGATCTCTTGTAACAGACCACTTTCTACTAAATGACAAATCCAATCAGATTTCTTGTAACAGACCACTTTCTAGTAATTGACAAATCCATTCAGAGCCTCTCTCCTCACACATTCCGCATAGTCATTGTGTGGTTTAACCCAGTGCCCGTTTTTTTATGACATTCAAAACGACTACTTGTAATTCATATTTTAATCTGATTAAGAACGTCAATTCATAATATGTCTTCATTGACTTGATAGGGAAGTTATTGTTGGCTTTGATGGCTTATCAATGCATTTTTGAGGGAACCTCAAGTCAAAGTCTGCAGTTGTTTGGTTCAACCAAGCTTGGATGATTGCTGGATATTGTCATGTTTAATAATAACAATTTTTTATTGCATCCTTGAAATAAATTTTTATCAGTTAAAAGCAATAACAATGAAATACATAAACAAACAAACAAACAAAAATTGAAAAAATGCACAAAAGAAAAGGAAAAAAAAGAATGATAAAAGTAAGTATTATCTTTTAATTGGAGGTTCTGTTTTAATGTCTAATATGGCATATACATATTCACCCACTTGTCTTATAATTTCAACATCATTGCAACTCATCAGGTATATAAATTTCTGATTAACGTTGTGGGCTGTGTTTGGAATTATTACATCTCTCAATAGTTTTTGCCTGTTATTGTAATATTTTGGACATTCCATGAAAAAATGTACCTCATTTTCTATTTTGTTCTCTGAAGAATATATACATAATCTGTTTTCTAGGGGTGTTTTTGGTTGAGTATGTCTACCTTTCTCTATTGCTAATGGATAGTTGCTAATTATATATAATATGGTAATTATTGATGTATTTATTGACAGAATGATTCTGGTGAAGTGGAAGTTTATGAAGGTGGAGGAACCAATGGATTAATACAACTCACTGTCAGTAGAACAGAAGGTGCATTTACTACAGTACAAGTCAGTTGGCAGGCGTATATTGGCTCAGCCACATCAGCTGACTTTGCACCATTGGATGGAACCATATCATTCCTAGATGGGCAGGTTGGTTGAATCAAACATGTTTATTCAGTCTGAGGTTTAACACCAGATTTTCATTATTTATTAGTTTCTTTTGAATTTTATTCACAACCTCTAATACATTTCAATTTTGTGCCATGTGAACTTTCTTAATTATGTTTTTTATACTAACAGAGAGAAGCTACTGTGGATATCACCATTATTGATGATGATGAATATGAACTTGATGAGGTAAGGAAACATTTTGAAATTGAATATTGTATTTTAACAATGATAAAAACAATTGTTAGTAATGATTTATAAAGTAAAAATATGCAACTTTCATAACCATGTACTTTGATATCCAATGAAGAATTAACGAGAAGCAAAATCTCATGCTTTTTGGGCATTTGCATTTCAATTATATTTCTAGCCAATAGTGTCACAGAATGCAATGGATGCTTGCAAATGTCGGATTGCATAAACAGAGATTATCGCCACGCTCAAAAATGCATGTATTACATGCTTTGTGATTAATCAAGGTCACTCTCATTCTCAGATGGACACTCACTTACAGATTCACTAATTTGCATTAGGATTTCATGAAATGTTTTATTTCTCTTGCAATGTTATGATCATCTTGCAATTCACATGACTACTTTATCAAATACAGCACTCTTGCATACTTTCACCTTATAAATTCTTAATGACAGTGATCATGATAATGATGATATCAATGATGTTGAGAAGTACTTGTAGTACGATGATGATGAGGAGGAAAATGAGGAGGACGAGGAGGGGGGTAGGCAGAGGCGCAGAGTGTGATGATTTTTAGATTGTATTGTATTCCCTTTCTCCAGACATTCAATGTTCGTCTGTACAACCCTACTAATGGTGCTGTTTTGGGAAGTAAACAATTAGTTGCTGTCAAGATTAAAAAGAACGATTCACCGTTTGGTTTGTTTGGTTTCACATCAACCCAGGTAAATATCTTTACACTGAGACTCTCATAAGATAATGTTAATGAGAGCATTACACATTTTGGTATTTTGCGACTTGAATTACTACATCAAGTAACTGATAGAACTAATAAAAATAGTCTGAGCTTATTTTTTTGGAAAGTCTTTGGAATGCCAGTTTGTGTACATGGATATAATATAATAAGTTATATTCATACATTCCGAAGTAATTCACTTATTTTTATCCAACTTTTGGAAATCATCATAATTTCAGGAATAGCTATTATATCTGTTCGGTCATTAAATTTTTTTTTCTTTCAGGAATCTGTGATGGAATCAGAAAATAACAATGACCCTAATGGTCAGGTGACATTTGTTGTACAGCGTACACAATTTGATTCAGGTACAGTCTTTGTGCAATGGAAACTGGAAGATGAAGCTAGCAGTGACCTTTCACCTTTGCAAGGAACTTTGACCTTTGCACCTGTAAGTTCATTCAATGTTTTCAGAGAAAAACTTTCTATTGTACTCGCACCCATAACATAACCCTACTCCTCCCCTCCATCGCCCTCCAAATAAATTGTATATGCCATTCCTAAAAACAGTTATAGTTATCTTGAGGGGCATATCAAATTGAATGGGGGGCAGGAGAGTTAGAGTGTAAGTTAAGGTAAGGGTTAGGGATATAATGAAACGTTTTTCTATTTTCAGACCCAAGTTTTGCTGAAATCTGGCAATAACCAATCAGTACATGGGTTACAGTCCAATCAATAGTGACATGCTTTCTTATTGGCTGATAAATTCAGTCAAAGATTTTTCATTGGATAACATTCTTTAAACATATGTTCTGGAGCTACATGTATTAGATAAATATGTAGAGCAAACCTATTAAATAATTTCATTCATTTTCATCTCTTTCATTATGATATTGACAGGGGGTAACTCAGCAGTCTTTAACACTTCGAACACTACCAGACAATATCTTAGAAGGAGAGGAAAGATTCTCACTAGATATAATCAGTGTGTCAAATGATGCCGATATATCGCCTGTATATGGTAACAAATCCTTGTTTTTTATTATAACATTCATGATCTAAGGATTTGTTTCTGCAATGCATTAACACATCACTTCCTTGCGTCGAGATTTTACATTCATATCGGCAATACATGGACGCTTTCAGCAGCTGGGGTGTTAACATGGGGCTTTCAATCAGTTATAGCCCAAGCTCCAGTGTGGTATACGCCATGTTTCAGAAGTACTGAGATTCCCAGCAGCACAAAGCAAGATATCACTGAACGTCACACATATCATACTTTCATGTTTAATATCAAGCCTCCATCTTTCTTTAATATATTATCATGGTCGTTGTGCAACGTATGTGTTTGAATTTCAATGTAATCAAACTGATATTGACCTCCAAGCTTGAATTTCTATGACACGTTTTTGACTTTATATTTGTGATATTGGCAAGACGTTCATACGACAACAGACTTGCAGGTAGTATAATTCTACATATGTATAGTTTGTGAATGTACCGTAAAATCTGTATTAGAAGCCGCATCCCTAATAGAAGTCGCACTCAATCTTTTTGTACAATTGAGAACCAAAAATTCATCATTTCTCATATGTGTAGATGCTCTAATAGAAGCCGCATCCCTTCTGTTGCATTGTACCATTTTAATAGAAGCCATGGCTTCTAATACAGATTTTACAGTAATATCTAATATGATGTTTAGAAAAAATCACATTGCCTAAAATAGTGGAATATTTAAATATTTGTAAGACTTTTCTTTAACAATTTTATGTTATGTGGAAAAATGTAATTAGGAAAAAAAAATTGCACTAAGAATCAACACTCTTATGGTGAATTATTTATTTTGTGTGCACATATAGATTATTAGCTTTCCTAAAATGAAAATGAAGAGACATTTTGATGGTAAAACATCCATCATTGACATTGTCTACAGCATTAACTGTTACTGTGGTTACCTTTTTTTTTTCAAACATTGTTTATATTTCAGGGCATGCTACTGTTGTTATTTTACCAAACCAAGGAGCCGCTGGCATTGTGTCAGTGCTGCCACAGTATAGAAACATACTTATCAGTGAACCAACCATTTCTTTTGATGGATCAGCACAAATTTAGTGAGTACTCTTCAAGTTTTGATTTCCGTTGTGGAGAATTAATTGTAACATGGTGGTACTGTAAAACCATTTAATTTCATTATTGTGATGCTTTGAGCAATTTCATAGGGTTTTAATTTCATGAATTTGACAGGAAAACAATGAGTTGTATTTTACATGTTCATGTGGATTTAATTCAGCGCATTTTATTTATTGGTGAAAATAACAAAATTAAATATAATAAATTTGAATAATTAATGAGAGGAGGCAAGGGGGGTAGCTGGTACGGTTTTACGGGAAATAAAAAGGGCTTTTTACAATTTACAAGGAAAAAAAGATGTTTTTACAGTTTACAGTGTTAAAAAAAGGAACATTGAATGGTCCGAAGAGCTCTCCGGCTCAAATTCTCCGACATTACTGCGCCGTGTGTAGAGATGCACGCGCATATTACCCTCGTAATGCTCTTCATTCGGTTAGAGGGCCTTTTACGTCTTGGACGTTCAATTGTGCAGTGAATTGTGTCATCTAGTTGTTTTACAGTTTCTAAAATGTAATTTCCCTGGATTATTCTTTACGATTTTTTTATTTGGATGTAAATTCTTGTACGAACCGAGAAAAATGACACATTTTTACAGTGTACGAAAAAAATATTTGATCGATTACGTTGTACGTCTAGCCTGTGATTACAGAATTACGGAATTTATTTTTTCAATTTACGTTGTATGAACAAAAAAATATAGCAATTACGTTGAACGAAAATAACCCTTGCCCCCCCATTAATGTGTTTATGTAAAGTAATTTTAATATTGTTTTAAAAGTGTCATTGTCATGAAAATAGAGAATTAATGGGTTATTAAAAATACCAAAAGTTAAAGTCTTACACAATTTTATTGTCATTGAAACTTTAATCATTGTTTTTGTATTTAATCAAATCAGAGGTACATTACTTGGGGTTTAAAACTACAGTGACATGATACCAAGATCCCGTTTAAATCTCGCTCTTGCATAAGCGTTCCAACTCAGAAAAATGCGAATGCACATGCCCGAGGTAACTAGGATACTGGGATGTCCAGGTGGATCAAAATAGCTGCTCACGATATGACGGATTACGATAACTATATTTTCTGTACATTTTCGATGTATTGAATTTTTCACTATGAATGTGGTAATACATGTTTTATTCTTTTATTACAAACCGCCTATGTCATGTTAGAAGATCGTAGCACCAGTCTCGCTATCTACGAGATGAGACTTGAATGGGATCTTGACATGATGTCACCATACAGTACTAAGCGTGTTGCAAACCCCAAGTAATGTACCTCTGATCAAATATATTTTGATCAGCAAAGAAACATTTTGAATTTCTTTTTTTTTGCCCTTAAGTTTGACTCGTGGAATTGGAAACTTTGGAATGATCACTGTAAATTGGCAGCTATCTCCAAGAGATGAATCAACGTTTGACCTCACATCTGGTACAGTTGTTTTTGAAGATCAGCAGCGGAACGCATCAATTTCGCTTCAGGTACTGTTAAATTGCATATTCTTAGAAATCTTTGGTTATATGCATTCTGCCACTAATGAGATACTAGCATGGTTTTATTAGTAAATATCAAAATGAATGTGTCAAATGTTTTCTGTTTTCACATTGCAGACCAAAGATGATTCAATCCCTGAACTGAAACAGACTTACAGACTACAACTGGTGTCCATCAATGGTGGTGCTTCTATAGATATCACACCAGGGGCCAATGAAGCTGTTGTTACCATGGTAGCAAGTGACAATCCACATGGGATATTTGAATTTGACCGACAGCAGATGACAGTCAGTGAAGACGATAGACAGGTATTGTTCTTTGTTCTTTTTGTTCATGAAGATAAAGCAGAGGTAGGGTTGTTATAACCTTACTAACTAATGACAGGGAAACACCAAAAATGTGTAATGATAAAGTTATGCATGTAACCATAGTAACAGTGAACATGATGACGAGAGTGAAAGAACACTATCTATTTGTGCTACAGAAAGTAAAAAATGAGCTTCTAAATTTGAAAACAACTGGAATCTACAAACATCACTTACGCTTTCGTTGGGTTTAAAAATTGAACACCAGCTTGGCAATGTTTTGGAGGGTGTCTTTGAAAGTAGTACCACTGTGAAGCATCGACCAATCAATGACAAGTATAAGATCACATGGTGGTAGAGATGTATTCGTGGAAACTCTGTGTCAAAAGTCAGAGTGATTGTCTGTTATTATTTTATATTTTAAAATTTGTATATATGTTTTCTTTGCTTACAAATTCTTACTGAAAAATGACATGACACTACTTTGTGAAATCCAATACAAATTTATTCACTCAGTTGTCTTTCATCAATAGATTCTTCTACAAATTGTTCGTAATGCTGGTCTGATTGGTCAAGTTCAACTGAGTTACACCACTTCACCTGGCACAGCCATCACAGGACAAGATTTCAGCCCATCTTCTAGAAGTAAGTTGATTATAAATGACATGATTTAAAATTCATAAAATTCATCAAATTGCAATGGTTCCTAGCGGCAAAAATTAAGTTGTTTACGGTAAATTGTTAATTGATATATAAGGTCATATGCCGAAAATAAATTAGTAAAATTGAATCCCTGAAATGGTAAATCAGAAAAATTTAAACCCAGTAAAAATTAGTCATTTTACAGTATTTGGTAGTTTCAATAGTTTGTCCCCGCCCAATTATACATACTCGATGATAGAACGTGCTCTCACATGAGAATTCTTGCACGTCCACATGAACCTACCCACATTTTTCAATCTGTAACCAGTCAACAACTTTTTAATATTCAAAAGAAAATATTATTATAAACACTGTTATATGAATTGATAATGATCATACATGTACATGGTCTGTTGGTTTTAGCTGCATTATGTTCAAAATTAACAATAATAATTTCTTTATTTTAATCAGCTGTTATATTCAGTGATGGCGTTGATATCCAAAATGTAGATATTATTATATTGCAAGATGACATTCCAGAAGCTCCTGAAGATTTCTATGTTAACATAACGTCATTAGAGTTGTTATCATACAGGTAAATAACAAAACTATTTCTTCATCATTCTTGTCTAATTAGAACTTTTAAGTTGCATTCCTATTATATCCAGAACACTGATGATTGTAATCAACATTAAAAAATGTTAAAATCAGTTGGCATGGTAACAAATCCTGAAATATTTGAGCACTGAAGATCATCGTGTTGAAAGGTCAATGGTCATTGTATTTTTGTATTTTACACAATATGTATACGTCGCCATGGGTTCAATCTTGAACACGACACGATACGACACAATGACGACCGCCCTTATTATAATCATCAAATCAAACATACTTGCTGTTGTTGTAATCACTCGAGGCCTTTTATTTTAGGAGGAACTTCTAAATTTGACTACAGGATTCTGCTTGATATGTTTAAAAATAAAACTGGTTATTACGAGAGTGCACAAAGGCGATGAGATTTGATTTCTATCACAAGCTACTTTGTCACGGTGTCCAAATGACACTAATGTGATGAGAGGTGACACTATTCATGTTTTTCCATCTCTGTATTATAGTGACAATGATTACAGTGATCATGGTGGCCTCGCACTAGACATGCCTCCCATAATTGGACCTACATCAGTCGTTACCATAGTGATTGACAAGAATGATAATGCAGAGGGTATTATTGAATTCAGTGAAGATGACGTCAATTTTGTTGGTGAGTGATCCTGTTATAAAGCATGAATCATAATGCAATGGTAATCCCTGTATGCTGAGAAATATCACTGGATTTATTGGAAATCCATTTCTGACTGCAAAGTTACTAGAATTGAGTAATTGGTGATTTTTAAAATATAAACAATATACAGAAATGCTGTCCTGGTCTGTTCTGCTCCGGCCCAGTTCAATTTGGTATGATCTGGTCTGTAATGGTCTGGTCCAGCCTATTTAACTTGATAACAAAAGTTTCAAATTCATATACATGTTACTTTTAAATATTTTACCATACTTGTCTCTTTGTTATTACTATTACAGTGACTGAAGATATCGGTACAGCCTCAGTTCCAGTCACTCGTATAGGTGGCATGTACGGTCTGGTCAGTGTGAAATTCACATCACAGCCGCTAACAGCAACCCCTAATGGTGTTGACTATGTTCTTAACGATGGAGAAGTGGTCTTCCAAGATGGCCAATCAGTGGCTTACATCAACGTTGACATAATTGATGACAACATTAAAGAGTTTGCCGAGATGTTTGAGATCACGCTTACGGACACTCTAGGTGGTGCTACACTTGGAAGCAGTCATGTCGCTACGGTCACTATCTCTAAAAGTGATGGTCCTGATGGTCTTGTTGGTTTTACACTTACTGATTTGGACAGAACTATTACAAATCCTGACTATCCCAGACAAGTTACGTTTACAATTCAAAGAACTGGTGGGTTGGATCAGTACCTTGCTCAAGCAGAGGTAAGCAGTGAATTTTTTTAGGTAATAATCACGATTGTTTATCTTTTATCTTCAGTTTTTTTTTATATAAATCATGAAACCGTGAAAAATCAATTAGTTGCAGTTTTAGTTAGTGAATACTGTCACTGATTTACACTGAAATTACTCTGCTTTTTTGTTGTATTAATATTATTAGTTTCCGTTCCGACGCAGTCCGAAAACGGGGACTTATGGATTGACCTCTGTGCGTCCGTGCGTGCATGCATGCATGGGTGTGTGCGTCCGCACCTGTATCTTAGACATGCCTGGACTAATTACACTCAAACTTCACACATACATCATACATAATATTATACGTATACACATCAATTTGTTTCACGATCTGATTCAAGATGGCCGAATGGCAGCCATTTTTGTACTGGAACATCATCAAAATCAAGCATTTCTCGACTGTTTACAGATGGATTTTGTTCAAACTTGGTATATACATTAGATATTATGGGACCTTGATGCAAATCATTTTGTTTTTTTAATGTTAAACAATAATCATATTTCTGACATGGTTATATTCAAGCTATATTACTATAAACAAAACTATATATCTTAAATTCGATAACTAACAGGGACTGTGCCATGCATGGTTTGTTAGAGTTGAGTTTAATTAAATACTTGTTTCCTTTAGGTGAAATGGAGAATTCTTGGTCCAAACACTGACATTGTTCTGGATACCACAGAAGATATCGCTACTCCAGCTGGCCAACTACAAGGGTCTGTGAGTTTCTTTAACGGGGAACGAGGATCAAGGACTTTCACGTTGATAGCAAAACCCTATCCAGGCCCCGAACAACAAGAAATATTTACTGTAGAGATATATCAGATTATTGGTGCTGGAGAATTGAGTACTACAGCTGACAAAGCAGTCCTTACGGTGAGTGACAAGCGTTGGGATCTGCCTGCAAGATAATATCTATTTTCTGTAATGTGTAAACTCCGGATTTGGTGTTGTGTTCATTCAAATTTTAAATTGTAAATCAACTTTCTTTATCTATCTCAGAAGTGATACTTGAATTAAAATGGCTGCCTGGTAGCCATTTTGTTATACACTTTCATCAGTGTGGATCTCTCTTAACTGCTTGATCGATCTCAATTTGGTTAAATAGGATCTTATATCCTAAATCTCATAGAACACCATACATAACACACACATATTGTATATATCACACGGGAACCATATTCAAACGTAATGTGGAGAGTTAACTTGAAAATTTAACATGGAGAAAATAATTATAACTTTTCAACTGAGAATTGTGTGGGCCTTTTGATCAGTTTTTTTATGAATGCAAATTTCCATAGTGAAATAATCACAGGCCAATTTATAAACAGTGCCCTTTTTGTTAATAACGTATCATATTGTCATCTTTATTTTAAATAATAATACACAAGGAATGCCATGTCATCTTCTGTCTATAAATACAGAATTATTTTTCTATTTCAGATTATGAAACATGGTGATCCTAATGGAGTAGTCATGTTTGCGGGCGAAGCACTCCAACCACGAAACTTTGACGAACCAAATAATGCCGCTGGTCCAATGACTGTCAGCTACCCGATACGACGAAGGGAAGGTGTCATAGGAGATATCAATGTGAGTAATTATTCTTTTGACCTGGCAGTTTAATGTAACTTTCAATCGGACTGACACCACACATTCGACACATGATACGATCACATGATATTTTCGCTTATTGTGCAGTTTATTCCCTGATCACCATTTTTATCTGAATAAAACTGTTACTTGAATCAAAAAACATAATAAGTTACTTTTAATTAGTATATTACATAAAATTTCATGACCAAATAATACATTTGATATTTTAGGTCTGGTTGTAAAGTCATATGTGGTTTTTAATTTTTATGTTATTGTTTGTTCATATTAAAGGTTAACTGGGAGATAAAGTCATTAAATGATGAGCCTGTTGCATCAGATTGTGATCCCTCATCGGGAATTGTTCTTATTCCGAATGCTGAGGCTAATTCCCAGATATACTTTACTTTACTTCCTGATGATATTCCTGAAATTAAAGAAGAATTTCAAGTTGTCCTAGTCTCATCAGATGGAGGAGCTGAGATTGATCCCGCTGTGAATGTGTCCACGTTCTACATCTTGTGAGTATCCTGTTAACAATTAATTTATTCAGACAATAATGAAATTCATTTGAAATTGTAAAATTAGTTAATGATTATATTTCTTTAATAATCAAACTCCTCGACCTTCCTTTGGCAGCCTAGCTTGTTCATGGAGATCCATGATGGTCAAGGAGCTTTTAGTATCACACCATCTTTTTTGGCTTTATCATTACATTACTGTAAAATCTGTATTGGAAGCCACGACTTCTATTATAATGGTATATTGCAATAGAGGGGATGCGGCTTCTATTAGAGCATCTACAAATATGAGAAATGATGAATTTTTGGTTTTGAGTTGTTCAAAAAGAATGGGTGCAACTGCTATTACAAATTATACAGGGATATTGCATAATTTAATTAAGATTTTATTCTTGTGTCTTTTTTAGAATGGAAGGTACCGGTATATCTTGTATATCTTATTTAATACAATATGTTATATTATGATGGTCATTGAAACTAAAAGCAATTTTTTTTTATTTTGATGAGTGAATGGTTCTATCAAATAAATGAGAGAGCCAATAAATGTCAGGGTTACCCAAATTTGTTTCCATGGAAATGATGACTTTCTAATTCTCTTGTAGAGTTGTACTCTACTTTGGTGTCCATTTTGGTTTAATGAGTGAGCAAAAGGCATACATAGTTCAAAAACTAGGTCAGGTACCCAGAGTTTATTATTTTTTAAATTTTAAACAGCCAATCACAAAGAATAATTTGCAGGAAATTTCTGCCCAAAAGATGTGTTTATGAATATTTGCTTGTCATGGTTTAGGGTTATTAACCACACTAAATTTTTATAAACTTTTGAAATTTGTTGAAATATCAAATTGTTTTTTTGGGGAGTTCAAAATAAAAAAAAATTGCTAAAAATTTGGTGTTGACAGTAATTTTTGTTTCACCACAACTGTGACTTATGGAACAAGTTGACACATGGGTCTGTAATAGATGACATACAAACGAATAATTAAAATACAATTTGATTATGTTACAATGAAAGAAAATATTGAGTTCATTTGTTATGGTACAATGACTTTTGTGAAATTGTTGTTAGTCAATATTAGAAATACAAACATTGACATATATTCATGAATGTATTCACTGTGGATAGCTGTCAGTATATAAAGCTGAATTTTTGTATCAAAGCAATGTGTAACTTTCACCAAATTTAATGTGACCCCTCCCCACCACCACCACCACCACCACCACCACCACCACCATCTTTGAAAAACACTGACATTTTCAGTTACAGATTTTGCAATTTTCACGAAATTCACCAACAAATTTCTCTCACAAAATGAATACATTACAGTTTTTCATGATTTCATTTCAAAATGCATGCATGATAAAATTAAATCATCGACTAAATATAAAAATTAATTTGATTAATTAAATTATGATATAATATTCTACAGTTTGTTGCCATTGTAGCTGACCAATAATGTGTGTTGTTTGTTTTTGTGGGTATAAATAGATTGTGACAACAGTGTAATGGTAAGACAGCTGTACCCGATGGCTATCAGCCTGGTGTAATGTGGTGGTGTGTATAGTGTCACAATTAAGGACAATGTGTATTCTCCACCACTCACTGCTCAATAGCCGTTGAATTACCCCATTGTGTTTCCACTGAAAAGGACGCTCAGCTGTTTTAGAGTCAACGTAGCTATAAAATGTATAGGTATGGGCTTACTTATGAATCGTAGTGTGATATTAACTGTGTTCGTGTTTATCTCCACCACCAGAGCCAATGATGACCCACATGGAGTTTTCAGTGTACGCAGCGAAGACCAGACTGTCGTTGTTAAGTCTGATTTGTCACGATTTGTCAGTATCAATGTGACACGATCGGCAGGAACCACTGGGGATGTCAGGGTGGTGTTCTCACTAGAATATGATAGTGTAAGTGTCAATTTATGCTAATTAATACGTGTTAGTGCTACAATGTGACACATATCATATATAACTATAATAATGTTGTTATTATTCAAAAAATATAAGAGAGATTCAATGAGCAATATTTGAATTATTTGTTATAATTGCTTGAGTCTACAACTATTATCGGTAATAAAATACTTGTCTCATAACTCAGCTGTGAGTTGTATTTGTTGCCTTTTGATAAATACATATAAAAAAATGCAAGGCAATTATTAAATACGAAAAATCATTAGTAAAAAAAAATCCTTTTTTTTTTTTTAAACATTTGACCATGATATGTAGCCAATGGGAAATGATATTTATGTAGTCTAAAATTAACGACGACATTGAAAAAAAAAATACAAAAAAAAAATAGATTCTTGCCCCAAATGTTGGCGGTAAAACGGTGGTTGAATTTAGTTTGACTACAGATGCGTCAATTCTGTGTGGCAGTTATACAAACTATTGTTTATCAGTTCAGTGACCATGGCCTATTCAACCTGTTTGTATGCTGTCAATTGTACACACATACCTGTCCTTTATTCACTCCCTGAATACCCCCCAGTTACTGTATTGTGCTGCCCCCCATAGTCTCACTGGACAGCTGTTTAAAGTCATGGCAAATTTACAGTGGTTCATTTCACCAATGGTATAGATACTTGGGTTACTGTGTTGATAGAAGGCTGTGGATTAGTTCTTTAATAGAGCAACCTCAGCATTAATTGTTTTCTATTATCGGTATGGTTCTTGTGATAAATTGTCATTTGATAACCCATTTTGTACTCATGATAGCATTTCTCTTTGTATGAACAATTACCTACATACATCAATATCATCAATAATTTAACTAATTAATTTAAACCAAAATATTAATGAATAAACCCTCTACATACAGTATAATTTATTAACCAGTAAGTAAATTCATGGGTAAATTGATTAAATATAAAAACAAACTAATAAATAAATGAACATTAAATAAACAAATAAAGAAATAATTCAAATAATACATACAAAAAAAGGCAAATCATGAAAATATAGTTTTATATTTAGATATTAAATCTATATATGCAATTATTATTCTTACTTTATCTGTACTTTCTGTATTTTTCTCTGCAATAGCTAAATAGAAAACTAATTCATGAAATATGTTGAAAAATATATTTTCAGGTCAAACTGTTAAATACTTTCACTTCATTGGTATGCATATTAGACTTGCATGTTACTAAGACCAAGAATGTGGCTTTTGATATATATCTTATCAATATATGTTATGGTATTGTCATTATATTATTTCTTGATAAATGTTCATATTTTAGGCTGAACCTGGCAGACAGTATATCCCAAGTACTGGTGCAGTAACCTGTGTTGAAGGTGAAGCAAATGTACGTACAATTTAGAACATTTTAATAATTCAAACTCAATTTTATGACTCAGTGAAAATCATGACATTTTGTAGCAGTTGAAATTTATTTGAGGTCCTACAACACAGAGTGTCAGTGACTTTCAGAAAATTTGGTTTTTGTAAAAGCCATACAATCATCAAATCATAAAAAAAAAATTTAGCAGTAGAAATCAAATACTGTAGAATACTTAATTTTCGCTTGGAATTTATTTTCACTATTTTCGCTGAAGGGATGATTCCGTGAAAATAAAATCCAGCGAATATACTTTTTTTCCTATATTTCACATTCAACTCATCAAAAATCAGTGAAAATAAATTCCATACAAAACACCCAAAAATCTTTTTCAGCGAAAATTAATTCCAGCGAAAATAAAGTATTCCACAGTAGTTTATAATAATGTGTCTGACTAACAGCAATTTAATTTGTGTGTATTTTGTTTTTGCAGTGTATAGAGGAAGTTCCTTTGACTTCCAATGATGCTTTCCTGTCAACAGGTTCATCGTTTACAGTTACCATTACTGATATTACATACCTTTCATCGAATCGTAAGTATCTCATTTACCCATCGTATGTATCAACCATTGCACCCCTATTGCTTTGAATGGTATTATCCATTTTTTTAGGTATCACAATTTTGGAAGACTATACTTCTTGTTAAAAGCCGCAAGTCCAATTGCTTTGATATTACATATATAGGTACTACATGTGGACCTCTCTCAGATTTGTTCATTTTGTAATGATATCTTTAATTCTCTAATTTTGGTAAATATTTTTGTCATTTTTGGTAAAAAGTGATATTTTCGACTTCTTGTTAAAAACGACAAGTCCAATTGCTTTGATATTACATATATAGATACTACATGTGGACCACTCTCAAATTTGTTCATTTCATGATGATATCTTCAATTCTCTAATTTTGATGAATATTTTTGTCATTTTTGGTAAAAAGTGATATTTTCTTCTTGTTAAAAACCACAATCATTTATGGTTAAAAATTATATTTTTGAATTCTTGTTGAAAACAGCAAGTCCCATTGCATTGATACTATGCATATTGTTCATTTTCTAATGATATCTTCTGTTCTTTAATTGAAATGTGCATTGCTAACAGCGGAGCTATCTCAGCCAAGAGGCAGCTTGTTTTAGGTATCACAATCTTGGAAGACTATACTTTTGGCAACTTTATTCCACTGGAATTTATCTCAATTGAAGAGCATTAATCAACAAATTTCTATAAATCTTACAGCGCTTCCTGCTCAAATAAAATGGAGCCAGTTTTTAACATTTTGACCTTTACCTTTAGTCTTTAACCTTTTGACCTTTAACCCCTTGTTTTTTTAACTTTCAATTTTTTTACCTTTAACTCTTTGACCATCAAAGTCAACTTTGTCATCTTTCACCCGTAGGCAACATAAAATTATATCTACTTGGGTAAAAAATTAACAAAAAAAAACACAAATGTGCAAAATGTTGTACCACAAATGTAGTGGGAACAAATTATGACATTGAATTGTTCTCAGTGCTACCATATTACATTGTTTAAAGGCCGGCAGTCGTCGCGCTGCACATGTGCGATATTTGTGTTGATAAACATTGATTTTCCCACAATTCAATGTGCTCTTCTAATGAAATCACACGTATGAGGTTTTACTACTGTGACTCTTTTGATACTTTCCAATCACCTAAAAAGTATCTAAGTAAAGCTTAGTAACGTGTCAGTTTGTACTCGTTGATCTGCACAACAGTCAAAGTCGCCATCTTTGTTTATATGAGACCAATATGATCTAGCGCATGTGTGGTGCAACAACTACCTCCCTTTAATACTCAATGATTTTTTTTCACCAGCAACTATTGATCCAAGAATTGATATGACAAGTGCATCTGCTACATTTGAGGTTCCAGATGAAGCAGCAAACTCACTTGTTGGTTTTAATGAAGAAACAATGCAAGTGGATGATGGTAAGTATAAAGGATTATATAAGTAAAGTCAGGACGTAATAATGCATTACATAACATACTAACAATGCAAGAGGAATCTTCAGCATGTCTGTATTTTTAAAATAAAAATATTTTTTTTATTTTTAGAAACTAATGAGGTAATTTTAACAGTGGAAAGAATTGGTTCCTATGGCAACGTAAACTTTCAATGGCAGCGTGGATATCCTGATGGTGATCTTCCAAATGGTTTTGTAGAAGGTGACATTTTTCCTTCAATGGGATCAGCTGAGTTATTACATGGGCAGTCACTCAAAGCTGTTGCAGTTCAGGTATACATGCTTTTGTGTATTTGAAGAATGCTGTAAAGTGTTTCACTTTACATCAAAAAAAATTATAAAATTCTGACAATAAAGCATTATTGCCTGAATACTGTAAATGTATTAATTATTCACTGGATTTTAATTTCGCTATTTAAATCAACATGAACATGTAAAATAACAATAAAACTCATTGTTTCCTTGAAAAATTCATGAAATTAAAACAACAGTGATTATGCACAAAACACCAAAATAGTGAAATTAAATGTCAGTGAAAATAAATGGTTTCACAGTACGCATCATAAATTTGTTTGAGTGCCAATACTGGCAATAGACCTTAGATGCAAATTATGTTCAAGACTGTATTGGGAGATGAAAACAACTTGTTTTTGTCTCTGAATTACTATTCTATTCTCACCCATGTGTTCCACTGATATATGTAACCATGGATACAATGATTAAAGCTACAAGAACGCTATTTGAGAAATAAAAACATGCTTTAAACAAAATCAGGCATTTGCATATAAGTTTACTTTATGTTCTCAAATGTATCTTCAATATAAACAAATTACTTGATACAGTTTTGAACATTTCAATGACATTTATTTTTTGAGCAAAAGGCCCAAAAAGATAAGAAACAATTTTGGTTCAATTAGTTTTCCAAAATTGGTGTATGTTCATATTTTTTTGTATTTCAAGTTGTTATAAAAAAATTTCCCTTTCAGTTTGTTTTTTCCTGAAAATTATATAATGTAAAAGTTGTGTTTCTTTTATTTCAGTTATATCCCTCGGATAGCGCTACGGAATTATTCGCTGTACACATAACATCAGTAACCACCACAGCCAATGGTGGTGCATTGTTACGAGATGGCTACAATGTTGCACAGATTGATACATACGGTGTGGTCGGATTTGATGAAGCATCCATACAACAGTCTGTTGTAGAATCAGATACTCAGGTGAGTTTTTCTCTATAAAGAGTATTTCCACATAATTGTAGTTGAAATTCTTCACTGTAGAAATAAAAATATACTCAATATACAAATCTATAATGGGAACTTCAGTCACAAGATGACATACTTACAATGTTGAGGTGTTTTAGAATAGTGAAATATTGGAATTATCTTCTCAATTATTTATTAGCTAGTCATTAAAAATGAATGGGAATTGTGGGGTGAAAAAAAACAACAAATAAATGACTAACAAACATTTACAATAAATGGTCAACTCGGTGTAGACAGATATATTTTAAGTGATACAGTCAATGAGTTAAGTCAGATGCATCAAAAAGAGTTATAACATCCTGCTTCACATGTGGCACTCATACCATTCCCAGTTATAATCAAATATTTTATTAGTCTATGTCAGACAAATGATTTTATTCAAGTTCAATTGTGGTGAGATTTTAAACATTACACATCTTTAGAATAACTATGTCTGTTATTTTTGCATGAATTTCACTAATGGCTTAATACTTGTATCAACATCCCCAGCTTGTCAGGAAAGTGTGATTGAAGCAAGAATTAAATAAAATGTTTTGTGTTTTCCTTCAGGTGTCAATCACCATTGTGCGTAGAATTGGTTGCTATGGTAATATTCAAGTAAGATATCAAACCATTGATGGAACAGCACAAGGTGGCTCAGATTACACAGTTGTTGATTGGATAATACAAATGAACCAATTAGAGAGAACCAGAACCGTACACATACCAATCAAAGCGGATGATGTAAATCATCCCGAACCTGAAGTTGAGGAGTATTTTTACGTGAAGGTAACAGAAGTAAGAAGGTTACCATCGAGTGGACCACAGGGTGAGGATTAAACATAGTTCAGTCTCCTCCAACGTAAAAGGTCTTAATCTGTGCTTTATAGAGTTGATATGTATGGTTATTGCATTAATTATTTACTGGCCTTTAATTTCACTGATAAGTAAAATCCACTAAATTAAATTTATGGGAACATGTAAAATAACAATAAAAAACATTGTTTCCTTGACAAATTTGTGAAATTATAACACAGTGAATAGGCTCAAAACATCAAAATAGTGAAATTAAAAGTCTCTGAAAATAAATTGTTTTTACAGTATATGTATGCTAATAGCTACAAATGAATCATTTGTTATTGTTTTCACAGGTTTGAGTCCTCGTATAAGTACTTCATTATTTAGTTCTACGATTACAATTGATGCTAGTAATGATCCGTACGGTGTGTTTGCGATAGACTCTGCGCCGATAGAAGTAACTGAAAGCAACGATGCAGGTGCTTCTAAAGTTGTACAGATTCCAGTACATCGATATTGTAAGTATCCATCTTGCATTTTAGTTTTAATGTTCCATTGTTCTCAGAGACATTAATGACGATGAATCAATTTACAAGATAAATAATTGCTGCAAATTATGGTTTCTTCTTGAATCATTGATATCACTTAAAAGTAGCCTAGATTATTAATTGAAATTTTTCTGCATAAATATTGTTTTTTTCCATTCATCAAGCTTTGGTTATTCCATCTTTCAGAAATGAATGTACTGACGTACGGACAAATGGACAGACTCATGCACAACTGAAACTTTGTTTGTCCTGTGTGATTTGTTCTGATAAATCTGTCATGTTTTATCTGTAGTTGGTGCCTTCGGTACAGTCACTGTACATGTACGTACAGTTGGGGGTGGTGAGACTGGTGTGACACCTGAATCCTCTAACGACTCAGATACCATTAGTGGGGCTATGTATTCTGTGATGGACGTACCACATGCTACACAGGGTGAAGACTACGAGCCTCTTGATACAACGATCACATTTGTAGTGAGTATGCAACCTTAAACAATTTGTATTCAAACTGTGTGTAGTCATAACAACGACTAAGAACACGATTTTATCAGTACAAGCAAAGACTCTTGGGTTTTAATTATCTATCAAGTGTTGAATCGTAAACTGACACACTTTTTTTGTTTTCTACTTTTAGGAAGGATCAGTTGATAGTAAAATAGATCTCGTAATTTTAGACGATGATATTCGAGAACCAGCAGAAGTGTTCTTTGTTTACCTCAGTGATGCATCAGAAGGAGCTAGAATTGCAGATGGTGATGTGGATCCCAATGATCCAGAACAAAAACAACTGAGGGTAAAAATTTATTTTTAAGATATTGTATTGATTGCTGTTACTTTGTAGTGTTTTCTTACGTCTTAGGATGGCAATAACTACAGTTGAACTGAACCTAATAATTATCCAATAATTAAAATCAGTTCACCCTATTCGATATGGGACTCATAGCGACAAATACAACGTGTGTAAGATACATTAATTATTTACATAAAATTCGAACACGTGCTGCGCGACAACCACCATGCTTTAAATATTGTCATCTTATTATTAAAACTTAGTCAGCATTTGTCTCTCATGCAAATTACACAATAACCCTTACACAAAAATTTTAAAATGTATTTCATCTAGTGCTTGTTCTGTTTTCTTGGACTATCAATCTCATACTTTAAAATACTCATTCATACAACTATTTCTATTTATCAGTACATCAAGTATGAATTACTGTTGCTTGCTGAATGGTATCCACCATTTTGTACAGCTTCACCATTTATGTGGTGATTCAAAATGGCCGCCAGTTGGGGTCTTAATGTATAGAGATGAGTTTTGCTCATTCACAAACCAGATATGACACAATTGTTCATGAATAATTGCTTTAAATTATATGTATTGTTACAGGGTTATGTAAAACTAACTATTGCTGGTAGTGACTATCATAATGGAATCATAGGATTTACCGATGAGTCTTTGACTGTTAGTGTAAGCGAAGACGATGATCCAGCTGTCAACCTTATACTAGACAGAGGAGATGCTTATTTTGACCAGGTCACGGTAAGTCAGTCAAAATTTATTATTACTGTATGGTATTCTTGACGCATCATATTTTCAACAAACTTGATGATATTCTGTATCACACATACCGAAACTTTATTGGGTAGCACATCCACCTCAAATCAGGAAGGATCTGGGTTTTTTTTGAGCTCACTGTATGAATCAGAGCACAGTCTGCCCTGCCCTGCCTTCTAAATACACAATGTAGGATTGGCAGATTGGTTCGCACCTGCACTTGCATTTGCCAGGAAAAGACGAGAGGGACTTCCTTCAGAGTCCAGTCACCTAGGAATTCAACATCCCAACAGCATTGGCATAAACACAAAAATAAACACTATTTGCCGAATTATACAAATCACAGTAGTGTTTGGTGGGAATGACATAAACTACTGGTAAATTAAAAAAAAAAAACATGGCTTCCACACTATTGTGAGAAGTGTAATAAATATCTTATTTTGTTCTTTGCTTTGTAGGTGAGTTGGCAAGCCACGTACAGTGATCCAAGTTCTTCTGATGCAGACCTTTATGAGCAGTTAGATGAAGTCAGCGGTGAAACTGTGTGTAACGCTGGTGAACAACTTTGTCCGCTACTCATAATGCTACAACAAGATGATGTAAGTATAGACATTGCGCCCTCTAGAGTTCTGATTATTATGACAGTTTGACGTTACTATTGTGACACTAAACATTTTGTAATTACAATAATGCTTTTCATTTCCTGATGCTTTCAGCTAACTTACTACTTAACTTACCTAAATTTTCTGTCTGCCATCTTTAAACATGATCCTTTTGAGTACCTTTCTTGATGGTTATTAGTTGTATTATGAATCAAACGGACAATCAGGGTTATGCAAAACAAAGTGCAACTTAATTCATTAATATTATTTTGCAGTTTACTATAATAATGTTATTCATGACATATCTTAGAAAATGTCTTATTATTAATAAAATCAATAAAAGTAATGAAAACTTCTTTTAAAGCATTGTCATCCAGTTATAATAGATAAATAAAATAAATCAAAATTACATGACAACTTAGACCTGAGGTTAAATGAATTCCTTAAAATTCAGTGTGTCGAGTATATAGTAATGACAGCTTTCTTGCATACCTGATATTTGCACACTTGCTCAAAAATAATTCAGCATTATATTTCCCAGCAAGGAAGAATAATGTAATTCGCTTTTTTCTGCATTTTTTGTCAGGTTCCAGAGTTTGAGAGTCAGTTTTCTGTAATCCTGACACAGGTTGGTGAAGGTGCCACAATTGATACTACCCGCAATATGGCCAGTGTCACGATGCTTCCAAGTGATTACCCTTACGGTCTTGTACAGTTTTCTGTCGGATCCAGGTTTGTCTACTAACAAATTGCTACCACTTTTATTATTTACATTATGAAAACTGAACACAATGTATGTGAATTAGTACTCGGAAAACATACTTTCAAGTGTTGCAGTGCCTGAATCGAATTAGCGTACTGTAAAATGATATATTTTCAGTGCTGCAGTCACTGAATCAAATTAGCGTACTGTAAAATGTTACATTTTTAGTGTTGCAGTCACTGAATCAAATTAGCGTACTGTAAAATGTTACATTTTTAGTGTTGCAGTCACTGAATCAAATTAGCGTACTGTAAAATGTTACATTTTTAGTGTTGCAGTCTTTGAATCAAATTAGCGTACTGTAAAATGTTACATTTTTAGTGCTGCTGTCACTGAATCGAATTAGCGTACTTTTAAAAATGTTACATTTTCAGTGCCTGAATTGTGCCTGTACTTTTATTACTAGATTAACAAATGTTGATCAGAAAGCAGAGCTAGTTGGTTTGACTGTGGAGCGTGTTGGCGGTAGCACCCAGCCTGTATCAGTATCATGGTCCAGTAGAGAAATATACAGCACTGAGAAGATTGCAGGTGTTGTTGTTTTCCCGGCAGTTGAAGGTCAAGATTTCAAAGACTCTACTGGTACTATCAACTTGGATGTCGGTGATGTGAGTATGCTCAGATTACACATTTCATTTCTCAAGTTTCATTTAAGTCATAGGATTATCAGGTGAAATGCTTAATGGTCTGAATTTTGTGCAAATTGGAGAAAATTTCTACAAATTATCCAATTTCTGATCAGTTCCAGCATGTCTGAATGTTGGTAATCATTTCAGTTTTTCATTTGTTTGAATATATTTACTTGATGTATTAGAATAGAAATCCAATTCTTATTGATTCAAAATAGTTTGCCAACATCTCCAATTACTGCCGGCTAATTATAAATTAGTAATTATAAATGTGCAAATCCTCAAAATCCTGTGATATGATTAAATTAATTGACATAATACAATGTAGTTGCCAAACACAATACAGTTTTAGGAATGATTTCCATCTGCAACTGTAAGTTTTATCTTCAATCTTATACCTGCAGTATTGTGCTTAATTTATGATATTTTGCAATGATGTGTTCATTACAGCGACGTGCCTCCATTGACATTGTTTTGACCCCGGATACTGCATCCAGCGATCACTTGCCAAAGATGTTTCAGGTCGTCCTGTTGAGCCCAACAAATGGAGCCAGGTAAAGCAATAATACTTCTATTAGTTTTTTTCAGTAGAATATTTTCATATTCAGCCATTTAAGAATATTAAATTTACATTTTTTCCTATTTTTAATTTTTTATACATTCTTATTTAAAAAAAACACAATATTTTTGTATCACTTTGAATTACGAAAAATGTAAAAAAAATACATTGAATGATTTTTAAAATAAAATTTTTGTATTGAATGTTGGATTTTATTTGTGTTGTAGCTTAAGTGAGACAGGATACTACTCGAACATAACAATAGTGCAAGACAAGACGACGGCAGATGTGTGGGATACATGGGCTAGTGCCATTACTGGGGATCTAACAGACTCTGAAATAGACAGGTAATATTATTAGACTAAACTGCTGATAAATCCTGTATCATCATAAATATCAAATGCAATCTTATTATATCAGTATGTTGCAGTTATGGTTTTCTGTAACTTTTCTGCAAATCGTTAGTCAATGTGATTTCTATTCATCAAGGCACAGTCCCTCTATATGATAGAGGGACTGTGATCAAGGATATACAAACTGATGAAATTAACAAAATTTAATCTTATCAGAATTTTGCGTGAAATCAGTGCAACTGTAGCAGGTGAGATGACCGATGATCAGTTGGCCGTAGTACAAGATACACTGGATCTCATCAATGAAGAAGGAGCAATGAGACAGTGAGTATTAAACACATATCTCAGGATACTCCAAAACCATCTCAGGAACATTATACCACCAGTTGCCACATATCTCAAACTAAGCTTCTACTTGCTCCTTGGTAGTAAGCAACTGTAGGTACTTTGGCAGAGGATATTTATTTATTGTTGCTTTATTTACAGACTTCCCTTGACTATCCAAGATGATATTATGGATATATTCTGTGACATGTTGAATCCTGATAGGTCCGACACCCTGGGAGAAAGCAGTCTGGCACAGACTTTTGTTAACTTTGTCTATACATTATTAACTGAAGAAGACTGTGAAATGGAAGGACCAAGGACTTTGTCTTGTGATTATGCTTACGTTGAAGCAGCAAGATGGCTACCAGTGTCGATTAATGGACATCAATTTAGGGGAAGGTTAGTTTCAGCTTCAATAAATCTCCTATAATTTGTGACTACATCTCGGTGATTTACAATTTTCCTTGAAATTAAAATTTATGTTATGTTCATGGCTTCATGTATATATTTACTGATAAAAATTTTTTTGTTTTATTTATTCCTTATTTTCAGCCAAAGAGATTTATTTCAGTTGCCGTCAGATCTTCTGGTTTCTGATTTGAATAATGAGGACTGTGAAGACATTCATTTTATCGAATATTCATCATCCTTATGGTTTGATGCAAGTGATAAACAACCAATATTGAATCAAAAGGTAGGTCAAAGGTCAGCTGGTGCATCCTGGGATGTTCTGTCACATGCTTTGTGTGACACATGGCATGTCAAGGCAGAAGAGAATGACAATCAATTTTCGTAGTCTTTCGACAGAATGTCATCGAATGCATTGTCAAATTAATTGTTTTTCTACCTGAATTCACATTACTATTGGTGAAGCTGAAATTATTTTCTCCTTTTTCTGCTCTTCACAGGTTTTGTCAGTTGGTCTAAAAGACAGAGAAAACGATTTCACCAATCTACCCACACCCGTAGAGTATCGTATTTACACCGATGATTCCAGAGTCACGCCACAAGGAGCAGACTGTTTACTGTGGAATGTAGCAGCACAGAGATGGTTTGATGATGAGTGTTCGGTTCTGGTGAGTTTATTGTCAAAGGTTGTTTCAAGATGATTTACCTTTTCACGGTCACACATGCTCTCTTTCAAAATGCCAAATAATCAAACAAATTATGCTGTTTTTTGTTCTAAATACACCATGCACAGTGTTGACCTATAAAAACATAAAAATCTCCCACTTAACATTGCTGGGATGTGGAGGATGAGAAGTGGTAAATAATGTAATGACACAAGAGTCTTGATTGCCGGTGAAAGGAAGGGGGGTCTCACCCCGCACGTGCAGGTGTCATAGCGGTCCCTCCCCTGATGCACCTTGGTCGTTTGAGTTACATCATGACATGGACAACGTGGTACCTGAGTGTGAGTGGTCACTACGGCAACCCTGGCAGTGGGCGTCGTAAGTGCTGTTGCCAGGGTACCAGTCTCAACATTGACTAGCTCTGTGGCAAGGACACCGTGGTACCCAAGCAAAGTTGTGCATGCTGCAGTGACAGCCACCTTGTATTTTATTAAATAATGCTGATAATTTCAGAGTAACACTGACAAATTGCAGGGTGGGTGGGTGTAAAACGGCTAGGTATAGACAGCAAGCACTGAGGCAAGTGTAATACAAGTGAATGATGGATGATTGTATTCCGATGCTTATATAGAGAGTGAGATTAAAAGGTGTGAAGATAAGCAGCTAGGACATAAACAAATGTACAAATAACTCTAATTAAAGCATAGTGACCTAAGCTGTTAGGTGTGGTGTTAATGAAATGATAACATGACAGATCAGTGAGGGAGTGTGATGTGTGGGGTTTAATGAATATTGATTAATTTCATGATGGTGATGAGAAAATTTGCCGGGTGTGTTGGGCAGTTGTAATCTTTGTGTGATTAAGTGAATGTGATTAATTAATACGTAATGATGCCTTAAGGTAGCGAGACTATTATTTGTGTTGAAAATTACGATTTTCACATTTATTTATTAATTGATGAAATGCACCATAAACTTTCATATGATAAAGTCAATATAACATAGGATGTCATGTAAGTTGGTTAAAATGTAGATTTTCTGAAGGGAAGCAAGGCAGCCTCAGTAGTGTTTTCCAAAATCAACAACACAGGTTTAATCTGTGTGCCTATAAGTTTCAAAGATAAACTCAAGACAAAGCAATGTTAGGATGTGTTCACAGATTAGTCATTTGCATATGAATGTGTCAGACACAAGGTCACACAGCCACTGAAAAAAATCATTGATTTTGGTGTTTTCATATGCCGAATTTATCCAATTATAGCTATCCCATTCCTTTATTTTTTTGGTTTCCAATAGCCTTACACATTTGGATGTCCCTACACATGGTAAAACAGACCTTGATGGGAAAACAAATTGATTGTGCCGATAAACAAGCTTGAAAATCTTTGCTGTTACTTCATGGACGTTTTCTAGAGTTTATGTTTTTCAAAATGCAAGGTCTTTAACAAAAAATAACGTGTAACTTATTGTCGTCGGATTAACACCAAATTTTAACAGCTTTAAGGTGACAATGAGAGGACTTGAATGTGTCCAGACAAATATTTCATCGATTATTTACCAACGAGTTGTGGTTTGAGTTGGGGGCAATGCGACTAAAACA